TGTGATGTCAATTGAACAGCTGCCCTCAATATCTGCTAGAAACGTGCCATTTCCAAACTCACTGATGACGTTTCTAGTGCCATAGCTGGGAGATGCTATGCGTGGGAGCACCAGCCCAATCAGCAAGGCACTTGCCTCACAGACAGTGCGGAACTTGAAAGGAGCCAAAGCTCAAAGGGGACTTGGTCCCAATTCAAGGGGCTCTAAGTCTACGAAATCAGAAAATTCAAATAGGTGAAGGCTGAAAGGATTTTTAGCTGGATACGCATCATCATAAAGCTAATATTATAGCCAACCAGAACAATATAGTCCCCAGTTTACACTCTTGTTTTTAATCTGTAGAATGAAACTGTGAATGTGCTGGGGATTTTTGGGTTTGGCTTGATTTGTGGGCTTGTTGGGTTATTTGGGTTTTTTTTTCAGTATGGCCTTTAATTCCAATTACTCTTGAGATTATGTGACATGACTTAGCATCACAAAACCAAACTTTGACAGCACTCAGATCCACTGGTAGCATCATGGTTTCCAGGTCAACGCTGAAGCTGTTCAGTTTCCCAGTAAACTGTGAAATGCTGGTCAGTAGGTGCCAAAACTGTGCCACAAAAAAGCTCCAAGAAGCAACATTCTCCTCCCCAACACTAATAATAATGAATTTAGTAATCTTTCAGATTTCCTTACTTTGGGCAATGCAGTCATTTTAAGACAACAGTGCTGATACATTTGCAGTTTTAAAATGAAGTTTAGCCCAGACATCTCAAAACAGAAGAGAATGTGCTCATTCTAAAGAAGAAACACACCCCGCCCATTTTTGGAGGAGGTGAAAATAACTGTTTGCTTTCAACAGTTGTGGTGCAAATCCTGTCTGGAAAAGTAAAAGCTGTTTGTAAGGAATAAGGCAAGAAATACCAGTAATATTGTGGAAGAGATTTTTCTTTTAGTCTGAGTTATTACTAGCCATAGTACGTTACAGAAAGGCATCTGCACTGGGAACTTTCTACCATGGGAACCACACACAGTACACACAGGACCTGGCATTTTAAATCCACTCAGTTTAGTGGGAAAGTTTGCATTTAAAATCGTGCAGCAGACAATTAGCTGAGGACAAGATGTAACAAACCTTTAGTTGCCATGCAGTGCCAACTGATACCACTGTTGCCAGAATTTGGTGCCACACAGAAATGACAGTACTAAGAGTAAACTTTCTAGCATGACAATGTCTTTGCTCATGGCAACCTACGGAAACTTGGAATCAACATTAATCCTCCCCCTCCTCTTCCGCCTCACTCCAAAGTACAGCAGCAGAATTTTAAATTGCTTGAAGAAAGTCTGTTTTCTTTGGGAGGAAATGCATTTCAAGTATTCCATATGCTATTTTAGAAACTCAGTCTGATAAACTTTCTTGCACTGAATAAATGTCAACCTTGGGATTTAAATGGATGTGGCTCTTCACAAAATAGACTACTACTCAGCATGAGAAGTACTTTACTCTTAAATCTTGAGAGCAAGATTATGCCAGAAGGATGCAGCCAATTCTAACTCTTAGCATCCAACCCGGGCAATTTCAGAGCAGTGCTCTTCACAGAGCAACTGGGCTTTCCCTTGGGGCACATCATGCCCCCATTCACACCATCTACTTCTGCTGGGTACTTTTAAATTGTATTTGGAGGCAGAAACCCCTGCTCAGTGAATATATGAGTAGTATATGTTAAAAACAACAAAAATATTTTTTCTCTCCTAGTGTCACATTTTGTTTAATGAGAGAGCTCCTCTTCTTGTCCTTCTATATTTCACAGGCATCTACTGTTTAATAAACCTCCATGTAAGTCATAAATTTGAGGAGAACAGGGGATATAGCTACACAGAACTGAAAAGTATGAAGTGACAACACTC